TGACAACAGGCCCTAAAGGAAATGAAAATATTTTGCCCCAAAGTATATTTCTTTGACATATTTTGAAATGGTCCTGCCAGGCCTTCTTTTGTGGGGGAAATCTGCATTTTGTAGAGAAGCTCCTTCCCTTTCTAGGTCTTTTCCTGATCAAAAAGAGATTTAACTGAGAATCTGACACCTTTTAAGATGCAAAAGGAGACATTTACCATCTATTCTTTCTGAAACCTGCCACCTGGAGGCTTTATCTACGTAACAAGAACCTTGGCCTATACCATGCTCCTTATCTTAACTCAAGCATTTCTTTCTGCTGACTTCAACTCTTTAGGCAGAGCTTAGCTCTTTCAACCAATTGCCAATCAGAGAATCTTTGAATCCATCTATGACCTGTGAGTTCCCACTTTGAGATGTCCCACCTTTCTGGGCCAAACCAATGTATACCTTGGATGTATTAATTTTTGTCTTTGTCTATAACTTCTGTCTCCCTAAAATGTATAAAACCAAGCTGTAACCGAACCACCTTGAGCATGTGTTCTCAGAACTTTTGGAGGCTGTGCTGTAGGCCATGGTGACTCATATTTGACTCAGAATAAACCTCTTTAAATATTGTACAGAGTTTGGCTTTCATTCCATCAGCAATGCGCACGTCCCCCATTACCACACTGTGGCGTTGCAAGGAAAATTGCTCAGTTTCCTGGTGCAGAACAGAGCTGGGAAAACCCACCTCTGCCAAGTTGTACCACATACACTTATGGGGCAGGGCAAACCCCAAAAGTGGGGCTCAGCTCAGGAAGCCACATGGGTCCTTGACTCCACGCAGGACGGAATTCAAAAGCAAGCTGACGAAGTGAAAGCAAGTTTATAAAGAAAGCAAAGGAATGAAAGCGTGGCTACATTGTAGGCAGAGCAACCCACATAGGCTGTTGATTGGCTATTTTTTTGGTTATTTCTTGATGATTTAATAAAGCTGCGGTGGATAATTCATGAGTTTTCCAGGGAAAGGGTGAGGATTTCGCAGAACTGAGGGTTCTTTTTCCCTTTTAGAACATATAAGGTAATTTCTTTGCTTTGGTGTTTGTAAACTGTCATGGCATTGGTGGGAGTGTCTTTTAGCATGCTAATATATTACAATTAATGTATCATGAGCAATGAGGTCACATTTGTCACTATCTTGGTTTTGATGGGTTTTGGTTGGCTTCTTTTTTGCACCTTGTCTTATAAGCAGGGTCCTGTAAAACAAGTCCTGCTTAATTCCTGTCTCACTTGCGGCACAGATTCAAACTATCTAGTTAAAACAACAACAATAACAACAACACACTCAGGGTAAAAATTTAGCTTCAAGGGACACTGGACTAGTGGTTTTCCAGGCATCTGACAAAAGTAAGTATAAATCCTTTAGGAAAGAATCTGCCCTGATTTCAGACTCAAATAATTTCCTCCAATAAATTTCCAAGGAAAACAAGTAGCTCACAGAAAAATATAATAAACATTTAAGGAAACAAGGTACTGTGAGGTGAATAAGCATAAACAACAAACAATAGAAACTGACCTGCAAAGACCTTAGATACTGGAATTATCAGACACAGAATTAAAATTCTTTTAATGTTAAAAAAAATAGACAAACTTTAATGTCTAAAAAGATTTGAAACAGAATGAAGTAGAATGTCTGGAAATAAATGTAATAATTGAAATAAAAATCTGCATCAATGAATTCAACACCACCCATGTTAGACATGACTAAAGAGAGAATCGCTGAATAGGAGTATAGCTCTTGATTTACACAAAATACCTCATAGAAAGAGAAAGCCGTGGAACATTTGAAAGCAAAGTTATGAAGCAAGAAATATAGAATAATAAAGTTCAATATGGGTGTAATGAATCTTTCAGAAGTGAAGAAAAGAAATAATAAGACAGACATAATATTTGATAAGATAATGGCTGAACATTTTCATAAGCTTTCAAAAGATAGAAATCCATATACAGTAAGTCTGAAAAGTACTTAGCATAGTGGAACTGCAGAATAACAATCACAAAGAGATCTGGAAAGGAATCAGAGAAAAGAGAGAGTGCCTTCAAAGGAGCAGCAATACATTCAATAGGTCTCAACAGCAACAATAGAAGTGGGATGACAGCAAAGTTGTGTTTTCAAGTGTACTAAGAGAAAAGTGCACATACACACACACATACACACACATCCCTCCAGCTAAATTATGTTTTAAGAACATATTGTGATTCATAATAAAAAATGCATATTTTAGTCTTTTTCCCTATTTCCTGGCACAGAGCTCCTAAAGCCCTTGTAATTTCCTCAGCTATTGGGGTGCTAGTAACATCTTTTGTTCTAATACTTGGTCTTTGACCCCAATTTCTGACACAGAACTCCTAATCCCTTGGAATTTCTTGGGAGATAAAAGCATCTTTTGTTCTGGTGAGGTGACTCCCAGTGGGCTCCTGGTTGGGGGCTGGTCACCAGAAGGCCAAGCTGTGATTAGAAGCTTGGAATTGTCAGTCCCGCCCCCACCACCTCATCCTTTGGGATGGGAAGAGGATCTGGAGCTTAAGTTTGTAAGCAATCATTCCTATGTGATGAAGTCTTCATAAAAATCCATGAACTATAGGTAATACAGAGCTTCTGGGTTGATGACTACATGCGTGTGTCAGTGGGGTGGCACACCCCAATTCTTTCAGACCCTGCCATATGTACTCCATCATCTGGCTGTTCATCTGTATCCCTTATAATAAACTGGTAAACACAGGTGTTTCCTAAGTTCTGTGAGCCAATTTAACAAATAATTGACTGCAAGGAGGGGATCATGGGAACCTCCAATTTATAGCCAGTTCGTCAGGAGCATGGATGAATGGATGACAACCACCTGGACTTTTGAGTAGCATCTGAAGTGGGGGTAGTCTTGTAGGACTTTTAACTTGTGGGGTCTGACACTAATTCCAGGTAGATAGTGTCAGAATGCAGTTGAATTTAGGACACTCACTTGGTATCCAGAGAATTGGTTGATGTGGAAAAAACAAAAACAAAAACAAAAACCCACATACCTGGTCACAGAAGTATTGGGTATGAGTTTAGAGGAAAAGAGTTTATTTTTCCTATATTCAAGAGGTGAAGGCTAAATAAAGACATTTTTAGACTACAAAATTTGATGCCACTTTAGAGAATTAAGAGAAATTCTAAAGGATGTTCTTTAAGTAGAAGGAAGATGATATTAGACAGGAATTCAGAGATGCAAGGAATAAAGAAGAAAGAAAGTGAAATTATACAGGTAAATATATATTAATGGCCCCATAAAACTATTGCTTTATAACAGCAATGTTTTTTAGGCTTTATAGAGAATACATAACCCATCCCACAATTGTGCAAGGAGCAATCTATGTAACAAATCCATATTCACACACATAAATGCACACATTTGTGTGCACACATATCCTAGTTGTTCTGCCTCCCTCATAGACTCTGACTGGTATAGTGGCTAGGCCAGCCTTTTTATTTCAGCCCCTACATTGGGCTCTAGAATATTGAGGAATACAACTGCGGGTGAATGAGGTTATGTATGGGAGTTTAACATATCGAGGCATGGGCAGCCTGTGTGGGCCTGGGGCATAGTTTCCACCTTGAGTATAGCAGATGAAAACCTGTTAGAAAATTGCAAAATGCATAAGAGTCAGTTTGACTTAGATGGGTGTACAGTGAATCAAACTGCTCACAAACAAACCCTCTCTCCCAATCCACTGGAAGCATGGATTGGAAGACTATCTTGTGATCCCCACAACCAATAGTAATAACTAACACTAAGGCAGAGGCAGAGTACTAAGCCCTTTACATCCATTATCATGACCGATCTCCTAAATTACCCTGTGAGAGATTTCCTAATACTATCTCCATTTCACTGATTAGGACACTAAGGTTTGGTTGAGTTAGATCATTATCACACAAAACAGGGGTTAATGCATGCCCAGACTGTCTGATGTCCAGGTCCATACTGCCTGCCCAGAATGTGTGTAAGACAGTCATGGGGCTGAGCAGATCGAGAATGTAGGCAATAGGACTTGACTGACTCCAGTGAGCCTTTTCATAGGAGCAGGAGGTGATAACCGCCCCCACCCCCTGCCTTTTTTTTTTTTTTTTTTTTTTTTTTTTGTAAGAGACAGGGATTCATTATGTTGCCCAGGCTGATCTCAAACTCCTGGCCTCAAGCGATCCTCCCATTTCAGCCTCCTAAAGTAGCTAGGATTAGAGGTGTGAGCCACCATACTTGGCCAAGAGGTGATAAACCTTTTTACCTGTTTCTTCATGGCTTTATCTGCTGGTGCAAGTGGGGAAGAATGCCACATACCTAGTCATTGATATCTAATATTGATATAATATAATGCCTACTATTATACCAGCACCATTTCCTCATGCTTTGGTACTCTCTGCCTATTTTGGGACAGGCCTATCCAGAAACAGTTGGTGAAGTTCTTAGGTTCTTTCACTTGAGCAGACCTGTGATAGGCACATCAACACCAAGGCCAGACACAGACCTAACTTGGGTCTAATCTCTTGCCAAGATACTGACCTCATTGGCACTGGATGGTCAGGTGTTGTTCCAAGAATGGCTTTTTAATCACTGTCTTTAGGGGAGGCATGTGAGAACCAGGGAGAGATGTGGGCCTCTTTCTAAGACCTTACAACCAAGATACATATCTGTGTGAAATACAAGTTTGATATGTTCTGACACCTTCGAATACTTATTTTGTTGTTTCTGATGAAATTAGCCCTAAACCATTGATTCCCCGACATTATTGCCTAACAGCCTCTTGCCTGGCACTCAAGGAATCTGGCAGAATTTTTCCTTTACATATTGAGTCACTGGAACCAAAACCTTTGCCTGTCCTACTGTCTAGTAGTCATCAACACAGACTGTCTGTTAAGTGGAGTTGAACTATTTTACTACAAGGTAATGATGCCTTGAGTCATGTACTTTGTACAAGAAAAGAGTCTGAAGGAAAATCTTTTTTTTATTATTGAACTTAGTTCAAAAGGTTTGACCTCATTAATCATTACCCAGACCAATTGCTTTTCTGTATTTTATATTTTAGGTTTATGTTTTTAGACCCAAACTTGGGGTTCTTCAGCCCCCCCTTTTTTTCTGTATTCTCCTTTACTTCCTCTCAATTCAAATTATGGCCATGTCTTTCTTAGCTAGCTGAAGAATTATTATCTTTCGTGCGTCTGTTTTCCAGACTTATGTATGAGCATTCATTTACTAATTCATTCAGTCATTCATTAACTCATTCACTCAATAGCTATTACCGAATACCTTCTATTGGCCGGACACTGGGACAGGATTAACGTAGATATGGTCTTTGCCCTCAAGAACCTCGTATGCCACTGCAGGGGACAGATCTGTAAGTCATAATAAGACAATGACAGAAATTCTAAATGGAATGTATGTGTTGGTACTAACAACACAGAGAGAAAACTGTACCCAACTCTTTGAAGACATGTCAGCATGTGCCTTGCTGAAACAGGTGACATTTAAGTCAAATCTCGAAAAAGGAGCACGCTGAGGTTTATTTCATGACACCAGACTGCCTCTCAAGTGAGAATAGAAAAAAAAATATCCATCTGATTCTGAAACTGTAAAGATACTGATGACCTTCGCAAGCGAGGTGGAGTGGAGCCAAGTGGGAGAGCTGAATAGCTGTAAAGGTGATGATCGTGGGAAACCATTCACAACTACTGATTGGGAATGAAAGGAGAGAGATGGGTCATAGCTACTTATGAATGAGACAGGGTTATGGATTTCTTAAGTTGGGAGGTGGGAGCATTTTAGCAAAGGAGACAGTAGAAAGGAATAAAAAAAATACAGTAACTTCATCTCTGGGAGAATTGTCTCTCAGTTTCTACAAAATTACTTATCTACTCTTCATCCCTTATTTATTTATTTATTTATTTTGAGACCAAGTTTTGCTCTTGTCAACCAGGCTGGAGTGCAATGGCACAATCTCAGCTCACTGCAACCTACGCCTCCCGGGTTCAAACGATTCCCCTACCTCAGCCTCCTGAGTAGCTGGGGTTACAGGTGCCCGCCACCATGCCCGGCTAATTTTTGTATATTTAGAAGAGATGGGGTTTCACCATGTTGACCAGGCTGGTCTCGAACCTCTGACCTCAGGTGATTCACCCGCCTCAGTCTCCCAAAGTGCTGGGATTATAGGCGTAAGCCACCGTGCCCGGCCCCATTCCTTCTTTTTGATCTTGCCGTTTCTCTTACTTGGCTCTATTATTTCATTTCATTACCCTTCCTTGTTACCAGTTTGAAGATTATTATATGTGCTATGCTTTGCCATTGTCTTCTCAATATAAGTCTTAAGACCTAAAACCCATGAATACATTACACCAAGTCAAGCTACATCCAAATCAAAGTACCCTAAGATTTACATATATTTGAGAAGTAAGCTCTTTATTTATGTAAGTATTCTAGCACCCTTAAGGAAGCAAAGTGCCAATGTGCCTGAAGAATCTTTGGGAGCCTGCCAGCCAACACTGGTTCAGCTTCTACCATGAGGAAAACATGGACCAGAGGCTGTGAGAAGACCCCAAATGTGAAACAGTGTCCTGGGCTCCATCCTTGAGGGTCATGTAATATCCATCTTGCAAGGCTTGATGTTTCCTGCTAAAACAGGTTTATGGAAGACATTTAAACCTTAAAAAATGGAAAGATAAGAGTCCATTTAGTTGCGTAACAAAATGTCAAATGAACACAGAAAATTATTATGCCCTTTGACCATCTTGATTCCTGGGGGTCAGGGTATCTTTGGAAATTACCTCCACTTTCTGTCAAGGGCATTGTACAACAAAAACATAAGGATGGGAAGAAGAAATTTTGATTTTTTCCTGTGGTTCATAGATCAGTTACAGCTCCACATTTCAAAATGTCAGACCTGCTTTTACAAAGGCAATTTTGTTTGTAACTACATGAATAATACATAAACACACAGTTACTGGAAAATATTCTAATAATCAAGCCTATTGAATAAAATTTTATGAGTCCCCTTTGACACACACAGCAACCCTACTCTCTCCTCACTTTGGCATATACTTTTCTAGACCTTTTTCTAGACGTTTTTGCACCTGGATATGTGTAAATTTATTTATACATCTAATTTTAAATTTTAAAAAATATGTTGCATGGTAACATTATTAATCTGCAATTTGAGTTTTTTCATTTAACAATATAGCTTGAAAAGCATAACAATCTCATATATTTTTTGTATTCACTGAATAATATAATCTGAACATGTTGTAATTGATTTATTTAGCCCACCATTAGTGGATATTTAGGTGGTTTCCAACTTTTTATTTTTATTTTTTGCTATCTAAAAACAGTGCTGAAATGAACATTCTTGGGCATGTGCTCTTTTGAACATGTGCAAATATGTGTGTGGAATAGATTCCGTTGTTCCTACTTTCCATCATATTCTTTTTTAAGGTGGTGCTCCCTCCCTCCTCCTGCCCACATTCCCTTGGATTCTGGCTGTGTCTGTGGCCATCCTCTGACTTCTATATGCTTTTTTCCTGATGGCCACACCTGTAGCTTTCTTGGGACTACAGTCCTGAGCCACTTTGCTTACACCAGCAGACAGCCAGAATTGCCTGGGAAATTAGGTTCCTTTGGGGTAGGCCTTAGCAGATGACAGGTGGGACAGGTTATGAAAACCCAGCTCTTTCCCTTGAGTTGGGACATACTTGGAGGTGTAATGTGCATTTCAAAGCTCCTCTGCACCATCAAATTAAAGCTGGGATTTTGCCTAAAAGTACACTCTTCCTTGACTTCTCTCCCCTTTCTGGTTGCCCCACTCATTCATCAGCACTCCCATAACTCATCACTTGCGTATGAATCCTTGACTCAAGGTTTGCTTCTTGTGAATCCAGCCAAGTCAGGAACCTCCCTGTATAGAACAAACTTAGTACAGAGTTTCCTCCAGAGAAAGCACTGTCCTTAAAGATTGTCCCTGTCTCCCTTTTGGGAGTTGTATTTGTTTTACCAACTGGGATGGTTAATTTTATCCATCCACTTGACTGGGCCACAGGATGCCCAGATAACTGTTTAAACATTATTTCTGGAAGAGGTTAGCATTTGATTTGGTGAACTGAGAAAAGCAGATGGCATCATCTAATCCATTGAGGGTCTCAATAGAACAAAAAGGTAGAAGCACGTTGAAATAATTCTCCCTGACTGCTTGAGCTGGAACATCCATTTTCTCCTGCTCTCAGCTCTCCTGGTTCTCAGACTTTTAGAATTGGAATGGAATCTACACAACCAGGTCTCTGGCGTTCAGGCCTTCAAACCATTTGACTGGCTTTCCTGGGCCTCCAGCTTGCAGACAGCAGATCATGGGACTTCTCAGTCTCCATAATTGCATGAGTCAGTATGTTACAAAAATCTCTTTTTGTATGTCTTCCACTGGTGGTCCTTCTCTGTAGAACCCTGACTGTTACACCTACAGTTTAGAATGGAGTTGGAAGGTCCTAAGGCTTCTTTAGCCCATTAAGAGCCTATTGTTGTAGAGCCCTTGGGGAGTGGGGTAGGATGGTAGAAGGAAAGAGCAGACATCAAGTCTCTGGCACTGTATCCAGGCAAGAGCCCTGCTGCTTATGTCCCTAAGCTGCCGGTCTTCTAACCTTCTACCTTTGGCTTCAATTAGAGGCAGATAGAGGGTGTCTGGACAACAAATGAGTTCTGGAGACAAAAAAGGGAGAGCCACTGGTCAGTGAGGCCAATTATAATAAAGCCCATTTACTTTCCTTTCCCTGGTTTGCAGGTGGAAGGCAGCCTCTGCTCAATGTTAACTGGATCTTGAATGCAGCCCTGCCTGTCTAACCATCTGCAGTGTGACTTGATTGCTGCTGTGAGGGAAGCTGCTCACTTTTTCTTGCTTTGCCTCGCTTCCCTGTGCAGTGCCTCTCCACATCCCCTAATAAGAGCGCGAAGGAGGTGTTTGCCTGCTGCTTTCTGCCAGCTCAGTGCTGCTGCAATAGAGCAGAAACTTGGACCCAGATCTTCCATCCTCCATTATAACCCTCTCGGTAGCACTTACCATCACCCCTTGGTTGAAAGTAGAGCTGAAGAAACCCATTCTACACACACTTGCACATGTTCAACGGGGTATTTGCACAGGAATGTTCACTTCGGCATTGCTATGATCCTGAAGATGTGGCTGTACTTCTAGTTTTATGGCCAGGACCAATTATGCAGCAATGTTTAGCCACCCATGATGATAACCAGAGAGCAGATCAGGGGCAGCTTATGATGGGCAGATGGAGTGGGGAAAGAAAGGAATGTATAAAATTGGCTCCAGGATAAAATCAGGGTCACATTGGTGAAGCTTGGAGAGATAACATAGCTGGCTTCCATCCCATTTCTATGACAACTTCCTACAAATTTCTGGAATGAATGCTGGAGAACACAGTAAAACTGAAGCTCCATCCCGGTGGAGATGGAGAGAGGATCATGATTATCACGGTGGGGAGTTCCTCCACACTGTCCTAAATTCTCATTTGACCTATAGATATTATCTTTAAAACTACTTGTTTTAATTTATCTAGAATTCACTTTTAGTAGCTAAGCTGTTTGTTTGTATAGTTACCTTCCCATTCTTTGTCCTCTACATTGTAGGATAGAATATGTCGTCCATGTGAAATTATAAACTTTAAAACCCTGGCAGCCCCTGATCATGTTGGTAATCCTGAGCAAGTCACTTAGGCTCTGTCCACCCTACTCGTTACCTCTACCTATCTTCCTCCAAACTGTAACATGGAGTAACTATTATATCTTCAAAGCATTTGAAGATTATGAAGATTATGCTGTTGCATCTGAAACTTGTGAAGCCTACCAAACATGCCTAAAAGTTGTTAATTTCTTAGAAAGATTTGCAAGTTAAAACTAAAAAAGAATACCCATTAATACAAGACTGACTTTTTAAATTTGTATTTTATTTTTAGAAACAGGGTCTTGCTCTGTGGCCCAGTACAGAGTGCAGTGATGCAATCATGCAGCCTTAAACTCCTGCAGCTCACTGCAGCCTTAAACTCCTGGGCTCCAGTGATCCTCTCATCTGAAGGCTGACTTTTTAATCATAGAAATGTTAAGTATGCACCTAAATATTTTAGTTTTTTTTTTTTTTTTTCCTGAATCCACATATCTTTAGCTCACAAAAAGAGTCCTTATGGCCGGGTGTGGCGGCTCACGCCTGTAACCCCAGCACTTTGGGAGGCCGTGGCGGGCAGATCACCTGAGGTTGGGAGTTTGAGACCAACCTGACTAACATGGAGAAACCCGTCTCTAATAAAAATACAAAATTAGCCGGGCGTTGTGGTGCATGCCCGTAATCCCTGCTACTTGGGAGGCTGCGGCAGGAGAATCGCTTGAACCCAGGAGGCGGAGGTTGCAGTAAGCCGACATCGCGCCATTGCACTCCAGACTGGGCAACAAGAGCGAAACTCCACCTAAAAAAAAAGAAGAAAAAAAAATCCTCACATAAAATCGTTCAAAATGCCATATTCTGGCATTGCTTCCAAAGGTTTGAGTGTCAAATAGATCAAAAGTGGGTTAAAATGTATTTAAAGAATGAGCTGTGTGATCTTGGGAAAGAACTTAGGACAGGTTGGCATATATTAAGAATATGAAGACATGGAATATATTAATATATGAAGATACTCTCACATCTTTTCATCTATAGGCTCAATGACATCAGCAATATTAGCCTGCTTGCATGGGTCAGATTGGAAGCACCTGTAAGTCTGTATTAAGAGCAGCTTTTAAAACTCTGGCATATCCGTGGATGAAAGGCATGCTGTAAATAACATCGTTACATAGGTAAATTGTATACTTTTTGCAATATTTAAATGATTCAAGTGAGTGACTCTGTAATGGAAAGCACCATTATACAGAATGTGCCTGGGGAAGGTAACTGCAGCAACATTGCTGTGGTCTGAAGGAGAATGAATGAGCACTCATCCGCGAACCTCCTTTTCCATCCTGGCACCCTCAGTGCCTTGATGTGGACAATGAAACTGTTGCTTTATTTTCTTGCACCAGTTCTAACATTTAGGAATTGTCACAACATCCTCCCTTTATTTAAACAGATATTTGAAATCCAAATTATCTGAATTTATGAATTTATTAATAATTATGATCCATGACAGTACTGAGGGAGCTCTTTTATTTAAGAAAACAAGTGGTCGTAGCTGGGCACAGTGGCTCACACCAGTAGTCCCAGCTGCTTGGGAGGCTGATATGGGAGGATCCTTTGAGCCCATGGGTTCGAGTCCAACCTGGGCAACATAGTGAGACTCTGTCTTTCTGAAAACAAAACAAAACAAACTCCATGGTGTGATATCAATATTTGATATCCCTTTTGATAACAGTTGTATTGTTATTTCCCTAAAGTCTAGTGAATCTGATTAAGAGCGATTTAAAGCAAATATGAGCAAGAAAGGGGAAACCTAGGTGGACGCAGTTATTACTGAAGACAGCGGCTCTGGCAAGGAAAAGGGTATCTGGTGACTCACATGAGCGTGCGGTGAGGAAGGGAGCGAGGCATAAGACATGACCTTGGACGTTTATACTCCATCGTGTGGAATATGCAGAGTAAATCAAGTGAATCTGAGTTATAAGCTGGAGTGGAAAATCTAATTATCACAGAGATTTGGAAGATATTGCTTAAAGTGGAATCCAGAGATGGAGAAGCTTGTTCTATACAAAAGAAGCAGACAGTTAAGTAGCAAGGTTGGGTTCTATAGTACATCTGGATATCCACAAACCTGCCAGCAGAAATCTTGGTGGAGCATAGGGGTAAGGATTGAAGAAAAAATGATAAAAACAATACCCTATGGACATATGCTATAGGCCACTCGATCTGTTAGAGGGAATAAGTAATAAAGTTCCAGTGCAAATATTTTCGCTCACCGTCCTTAAGCTGAAACTACAGTATCCAGAAAGCTCTAAAAGGTTTTTGGCATGAATTATTTGGCAGCAAAGTTTGACCTGATATGAAACTGTTTAGAGTCTTTTTTGTTGTTGGGAGTGCTTGTTTCTGTAACTTTTAATTAAACAAAGTGCACCCACATGGGAGAAGACATTAGGAAATATAGATTCCAGTAGAAAATGAAAATCATGTATGGTTCCACTATGCAGTTATAAAAATGATTCATGCTTTGTTGTGTCTCCTGCCAGACTTTCATAGCTTTCCACCTACCTACTTACCTGCCCACCTACCTACTTACCTATACACCTACCTATTTACCTGCACACCTACCTATCCACACACCTGCCTACTTACCTGCCCACCTACCTACTTACCCACACACCTCCCTACTTACCTGCACACCTACCTACTTATCCACACACCTGCCTACTTACCTGCCCACCTACCTACTTACCTACACACCTACCTACTTACCTGCACACCTACCTACTTATCCAAACACCTGCCTACTTACCTGCCCACCTACCTATTTACCTACACACCTACTTACTTACCTGTACACCTGCCTACTTACCTACACACCTACCTACTTACCTGCCCACCTACCTACTTATCCACACACCTACCTACTTACCTGCACACCTACCTACCTACTTACCTGCCCACCTACCTACTTATCCACACACCTACCTACTTACCTGCACACCTACCTACCTACTTACCTGCATACTTACTTGCTTACCATGGCTACCATCCACCTATCTATAATTCCTAGACATGTAAATCTATCTATACAATATGTAGCTATTTTTACAAAGGCCAGAGTATACCATTGTATACAGCACATTGTTTAATGAACTGCTTTCTTTTTCATTAAGTGACAGATCACAAACAGCTTTTTATGAAATTTACTACACATTTTTTTCATCATATAAAATGACTGCTTTTATGGGAATATACCTTATTTATGTAACCAAACCCAATTTTATAACATTTCATATTTTTGTATTTTTCACTATCAAAAGCAATGCTATAATGAACATACTACTAACTAGATCTATGCAAATAATTATAATTATTTCCTTAGTATGAACTTCCAACTGTAAGACTGCAAGTCAAAAGACATCTTGCTAATTATTTTATAAACTTGCCAATTAATGCTCCAAAAAGTTTGTACTAATATGTAATCACCCCTCCAACATCTTATCACACTACCAATATGCTAAAACGCTCATTTTCCTGCAATCACTCAACACTGAGTAACAAAGTTAAAAATCTTTGCCAACCAGTTAAGTGGAAAATGATATTTAAATATTTCAGTTTCAGTATATTTGATTACTAGAGACATGGAGTACTTTTTCATGAATTAATCAGCCAATTGTATTTTTAAAATCTTTTTATTGAGGCAAAACACAAGTAAAGAGTACAAATCATAAGTATAGCTCAGTGAATTGTCACAAAGGGA